CAAGGCCGTGAAGCCCAAGAAGGTGGCCAAGAGTCCAGCCAAGGCCAAGGCCGTGAAGCCCAAAGCGGCCAAGGCCAAGGTCCAAGCCCAAGAGGCGCGCCCCAAGAAGTAGGTCCGGGTTGGAACCTGTTCCTATAACCCAACGGCTCTTTTAAGAGCCACCTACTGCTGCTGGAAAGAGCTTGGGGTGCGCGGGCCTCTGGCTCAGTGAGATCTCGGCCCCCCTGCAGATGCAGCCTCGGGACCCCCGGGAAATTCTCACTCGGAGCCCAAAGTTACCGGGAATGTTGGGGGGTTCGCGGTGGTTTACCCGCAGCAGGACTTGGGAAACACCAGTCCTGTGTGTTCACCTGAGGGTTTTAGTAGACCCACACCCCAAGCTAGTCAGTCACCGAATCAACCAGAACATTTTAAAAGAAAAAGATTCCCAGCCCAGGCTGGGAGGGCTCCCTTTTCCAGGCAGGGTTTCCCTGCGGCCTCAGATGGAACTGGGAACAGCATTGCTGGAGCGGTCTTCTCTGAAGTTGGGAAATGCTTTTGGGGTGTCCCGTGAAACCTTGGGCTCAACATCTGCCCTGGCAGCCGCAGGCGAGCTGTCCCGAGTGGCCGTGAGTCACCCGTGTGTCCAGCAGGTGGGCCTCTGGCGCCTGCACAACACGCCGACCTCTGACCCTGGCAGGTTAGCTGACTGCCCCGTAGCTTCTAGCTGTTGTCAGGAGCTCAGCTGCCAGGGCACGAGAGAGCCGGAGCCCAAAGCCCTTCCCGGTTTGCCTTCTGGAGAAACAACTGGCCGGATCGGGTCACATTTGCAATTCCCTGCCTCTCACCGGTTTTCTACCTGGTGGCGTGCACTGTGCCAGATTGAACACACACGTGGGACACGGTCGCAGAATTGCCCCTTTAAGCTTTAGGAATTTTAATTCTGGGGTTCACAGTGTACTGCCCTTTTTCATATCCTAGAGCAATCAGTATATGATGAGCCTGGTTTCCTCGCTGTTCCTTAAGGCAGCTCAATTCGTTCGTTCATTTTTAATATATTATTGATTTCAGAGACGGAGAGATAGAAACATCAATGATGAGAGAGGATCATGGATCCGCTGCCTCCTGCACACCCCACACTGGGGATGGAGCTGCAACCTGGGCGTGTGCCCTGACCAGGAATCAAACCCTGACCTCCTGGTTCCTAGGTGGACGCTCAACCACTGAGCCACACCAGCCGGGCTGCTTTTTCTCTTAACAAAACCTTGAGAAAGTCCTTTGAAGTCAAGTCATCTTTTAAAAAGTGTCCTCCACGTGGGGTAGCGATGATAACCCATTAATAAGGATTGAGGTTCCCATTTGCCACTCCTGGCCATGGTGCGTAGACAAGAGAGTTCTAGTGCGGACATTGCCAGAGGAGAGTGCATTTTAATTTTCAGTTGGTTGCTGCTGACATATCCTGAAAATAGCTCTCCTCCCCCGCCAGCCCTGACGGGAGGTCTCCTTAACTCTGCAAGTCTACAACGTGTGGAATGATTTCACACCGTCACTCATTCTTTAGGTTATTGGTCACTTGAATATGCACTTACATGGTTTGCTCATCGCTGGGAAGTCAGTCTGTCTTTCTCTTGTCCCATTGGCTTTCTTTTCTTACATATAATAGAAAAATAACCTTATATTTATCTCCTGTGTGATAGTTTTCTAATAGGGGTTTTTTTTTTCTATATTTTCGTTGTCTATGATGTAGTTTCCACTTATATGTGTTATATATCACAAGTCATTAAATATATGTACTTTTGGATATTAAATGTTTTCATTACAAACAATGCAATGGTTACACCGTGTTTCGCTTCTGCCTTTTGCTTTAAAAAGAACAGCCGTGTTCTCACAACCATGCGATGTTCTGTGGAATCTGGGCCCTCGCCTGGGTCGGTTGCCCAACTGAAACTAGGAAAGTTCTCCAGACAAGACGCCGTCGAGAACTAAATCAACCAGATTAAGGACACCCGGCGTGGCTGGCACCCTCACTGACCAGTCGTCTTCACCGGTGACCCCCAACATTTGCCTTTAGAAAACTCTGGATTGAAAAGCATCCCAGAGCCTGGGTTTCAGGGTGGCTCCCCATTTCCCCGAGTGGGAAGCCGTCGGGCACACACGACGTGACGCGAGTGAGTGCCGTATCTTCACATGTGCAGTCCCATCGGGGCCCTGGCAACCCCATGAGACAGAACTGTCCCTAATGTTCAGGTGGAAGGGAGGGAGGGAGGGAGGGCGCTCAGGCCTTAAGCGGGGCACCCCAGCGCCTGCGTGGAGATGGCTCCTTGCTTTGGAGCTGGGCAGGGACAGTGTGGATCTCGGCGGTATCTTGGGGTCCTTCCCCCGCCCCTGACAGCCCGAGAACCACGGAAGCAGGCCAATTTGTTCCTCAGCGCGCCGTCCGTGTTCCTTCCGACACGTTCATTATATTTTTAAGTTGTTGCTTGTCAGCAATTCCGCCTCCTTATGGGGTCCCCTTGCGGTCCAGACCCTGAGCACAGAGCTTGCCTGGCGTTGTGGGGGCCGTTCCTGCCTCCAGGAGCTCAGCACTGCTTTATTTATTTATTTATTTATTTATTTATTAATCCTCACCCGAGCTTTCTATTGATTTTCAGAGAGAGTGAAAGATAGACAGAATTATTGATGTGAGAAAAGCATATCTATTGGTTGCCTCCTGCACGGGCCCCAACCAGGGAGGAACGTGCCAACCGGGCATGCGCCCTTGGTGGGAATGGAACCATGACACCCTAGTTCATAGGTCCACACCCAACCACGAGCCGCGCAGGCCGGGTGTGGCTCAGATTATTAATCAACGGGTCAGTGGCTAAAAGACTCACCGCTAGTTTGGTTTTTCTGTTCTTTTCTGCAAATCCCCCCTCACCCCCGCCCTCCCAAGCTCAAACCATGTCAAACACACTGGGGGGGGGGGGGGGGGGACTTGGGCCTCCTGACCTCAGTCACCCCACCAGTCACCCCAGGACGTCTGGAAATCAAAGCTCTGAATCCTGAGAAGGGGGATGGAGAGGCCGAGGGTCAGACTGACCCCCTGTGGTATTTTTACAGTCTTTTTTATATATTTTTTTTATTGATTTCAGAGAGGAAGGGAGAGGGAGACAGAAACATCAACAAGAAAAAAATCATGGATTGGCTGCCTCCTGCACACCCCAACTGGGGATCGAGCCCGTAACCCGGGTGGGAATAGAACCGTGGCCTCCTGGTTCATAGGAGGACACTCAACCACTGAGCCACCCAGCCCAGCTTTCTCTCTCTCTGTCCATCCCCCGCCCCCTACCCCCCGCAGATGTATCCAGGACCCACTCACAGCCCAGCATTGTCTGGGCAGGGAAACCGCATGGAGAACACAGGCCCGAACCCCGCCCTAGGCCTTCACTCATTCTCTCTCCTGCTCTCCTCACTCGTCCGGGCTGGGCAGGAACAGGGGGGAATACGGGTAAACCTGGAGATAGGGCCGCAGGGCGTCCGGGAAGGCGGCCCTGGGGAAGGTGAACATGTGCGAGCCCGAGGTCCCGCTGTAGAAGGACACAAGCCCCACCTCGCAGTCCAGGAGAACCCCCACGACCAGGGGCCGCTCCTGCAGGCGCAGCGGCGTGCGCGGCCAGGTCAGCGCCACGTAGCCGTCCTTGGCGCCCAGCCGCAGGGCCCAGAAGCCGGTCTCGGGCCTCTGCGTGGTCCCCCCGAGCCGCTGCACGCTCTCCAGGCAGACGCCCACGTCCCAGCCCGTGCCCTCGCCCACGTCCACCTCGAAGTACCGCCGCCCGGACGCGAAGCTCTGCCGGCCCAGGATGCAGGGCGAGGCCATGAACCTCCAGGGAGAGGTGTCCGCCTCGCGCTGGGGGCCCCGCGTCACTTGTCTCTGATCCTGGGACACAATTAGTTCCGGATGCGCTGTTTCTGGATCCAGAGTCACGCCCACTGCAAGGGAGGGAGGAAAACAAAGATTTGGTTTTTGCGCGCCGAGAACACTTCCTTTTCTTTTATTGTATTTTATTATGTATTCATTTTTATGCAGGGATTTTATTTGCTTGTTTGTTTGTTTTTCAACTCTCGATCAAGGATGGTTTTCCATTGATTGATTGATTTTTATTATTTTTTTAAAATATATTTTTATTGCCCTAACCTGTTTGGCTCAGTGGATAGAGCATCAGCCTGCGGACTCAAGGGTCCCAGGTTCGATTCCGGTCAAGGGCATGTACCTTGGTTGTGGGCACATCCCCAGTAGGGAGTGTGCAAGAGGCAGCTGATCGATGTTTCTCTCTCATCGATGTTTCTAACTCTCTATCCCTCTCCCTTCCTCTCTGTAAAAAAAATCAATAAAACATATTTTTTTTTAAAAAAATATGTATATATATATATATATATATATATATATATATTTTTTTTTTAATGACTTCAGAGAGGAAGGGAGAGGGAGAGAGATAGAAACATCCATGATGGGAATCATGGATCAGCTGCCTCCTGCACGCCCCACACGGGATCGAGCCCGCAATGTGCCCCAGCCCTGTGCCCTGACCTGGAATCAAACCCCAACCTCCTGGGGGAGGGGGGGGGGGGCTCGGGCAACCGCTAGGGCCACACAGTTTATTTTACTTTATTTAATTTTATTTTTTAAGTTCTAGGGAATAAGTTTATTGTGGCAGAGCGTGTCACACACGACTGAGGGTGCGTACATTAGTGACATCACTCTGCGTCCTCCATCGGGTACAAGTGTGACAGGTTTCCTGCGTCCGGTTCCCACCATCACCTGCACGGCTTCCTCACTCTGACCCGTGAACATTTAACCCGACGGCTTCTGCTGACGCTCTGGTTCCAAACAAAACTCTGCATAAGCCTCTGAGTCCACCTCATCGTCAATATCATCCAAGTACGGTCACCACCCCGGACACACCTGCTCCGTTTTCTTCACAATCTGGAAAATGAGTCTTCTCTTCAAGTCACTCTTTTTTGTTTTTAATAAATCTTGATTGTTGAAAGTATCACATATGTCCTTCCCCCTCCCCCCCTCCCCTCCCGCCCTCACCTCACTCCTGATTGAATCGTGGTCGTCTGGATCAGCTGCAGGGAGAGGAACACCATCCGCTGGACCCAATGGTGGTTCCGTCACAAAACAGTTGGGATCATTCTCAGGTGCTGCTTCTTTTGGATGCTGATGTGGCATGGACTCTCCCCCGGTTACTTGTCTGGAGCTCTACAAGCTTCAAGAGCGTGTGCCTCACGTCGACAGTTCAGGGCGCGTCCAGGATGATGTATGCAATTGTCCCCATACTTTTGTCCATGTCCATCCTTCCTTGTCCCTTCCAGGCATGTTCCAACCCAGGCCCTGTCAACTCCAGGAATTTTACTGCACAAATTGAGTTATCATCCACAGAGTTAGAAAGGAGGGCATCCAACAACCCCCGAAAAGCAGCTGTTTGAGCCTGTCCATAATCCCCTTTGATCTTCAGTGGAAGATAAAGATCTCCTTGCAAGAGCACGAACCCATGGAATCGTTTCCGAGCTGCTTCATCCCCCTTGGCAGCTTGATCTCTAGGCTCATAATCAGCCTGACATCTTTGAAGGAGCACTTGGCGGAAGCTGCCCCTCTGTGAGCGAATGGTCAGGTGACGGGACAGGTAACCACACAGGCGAGCTCCCCCGCTGCGGAACCTTGGCACGGACATGGCCTGTTGATAGATGAGGCCCACAAGTTCTTCCAAAGCCTCGTCCGTGGTGACCCGGCCACTCAGGGTCTCTGCAAACTGTTCCATGTCAGTGTCACAACTGCCAGGCTGCTCTGTCAGACGGTTAAAGAAATCCAAACGAATACGGACAGAGGGAGACCATCCTCCCAGGGTCGTGGTGATTAGAAGAACCTCAGGGGTAGAATTCAGGGCGCTGGCAGACAGCATGGGCATTCACAGGGGAGCGACGACCACCCCGAGACTTGGACTCCCAGTTCTGCTGGGGTCTCGTTTGTTCCAAGAATGTCCCTTCAGAGGGTGGGGAAGGGGCGGCTGCAGGTTTCCTCCCAGGATCCTTCCTTGCGGACACACAAAGGGCTCCTGAGCGCCAATGAGCCACGCACCCGTGGGCCCGGGTGGGTTCGGG